GACTACCTCAGACTAAAATTTTCAATGTGACTTGTCCCCCTGTTGTTTCTGTTGTAGTTGTCCGCAGGCCAGCAGCAGACTTGCACATTCAGCGTAGGATGAGGTGCTTAATGCTTTTAGATCACGTAGTTTTAAGCCTTTCTGTGATTTACTATAGCTTTTGGATATTGGCTTAAGTGATTTCTGGTCAGGAGTCTTCTTGCTGTAGGAAGTTGGGACACAATTTTATTTCATCCTTAAAGCTGTTATTCACACAGAGACTTGCCCTTTTTGTTGTCCTTTTGGCTGTATTACCTGAGGGTCAGCTATAGCGAACAGGCAATGTACTGTACATCCTTACCACTCTGTTTTAGCAGGAACAGGAGATAAAGTAAACAGAAAAGTAAAGAGAAAAAAACTTCATCTCTTGAGATGAAGTAAAGAGTAACTAATCACACCCATGCACTTACTTGATGTTTCTGCTTCTTAGTTCCTGGATGTTTGTCTGGCTTTTAAATTCCCCACAAAAAGAATAATCAATCTCTTCTATAGACAAAATTTTTGCTATTAATCATTTATTGGAATTCGGGGATGTTCACTCAGAATTTTAAATGCAATGTCTAGTCAGAGTTATATAGCCAGGGGGATGTAAAGCAGGCACACAATAACAAAGGCAGATCAGACCGATCTGATTTATTCTGGTTATTTTATTTTCTTCTGTTAAAACCTGCTATGTGGGCTCTCTTAGCCTGCTGCATAGGTTTTCTCTATGTATATGTAATACCATATAAAATATATACATTTATGGCCAACTGCTAAAAATGATTAAAATGAGTGAGATGAAAAACTGTTTTATGTATCTTTATGGAGTTATCTTTGGAGTTTGCTGCTCGCAACTGCTTCTTTATGTGTAGTTTTATATTGCTATGGTTCTGAATTTCAGTATTTTATAGCTCATGAATGTTGAACATACAGATTTATTCTTTAAGAATGAAATGCAAGAATTTAAGAAGTTGTGTAAGTTTCCGCATTCAGCAGCATCCTTCTCAGAGTTCGTAAGCTTTATGTCTCTAAAGTTATTCAAGAAATCTGTCACTTTCCTCAGAAATAGTGTTGGCATTTTGGAGTCATATAAGGTACAAGCAAAACAAGCTTTTGTGGAGAAACAGTGTCTGTGTTATATATATACACAGCTAGAAAACCAGATGAGCTTTTTGGCACATTAAGCTTTTCCTCAGAACCAAAAATATTAACAAAATGTCTCAAATGCAACAAACTCCCTGTTTTCCAAGGTCAGAGATTGTAATGCGTTCGCCTCTTCCATGATGGAAGCTTTCTTCAGTTAATAACTGAATTAAAACTTTTCCTCAGAGAATTTTGAACAATTATCATTTATTTTGGGAAGAAGTTCCAAAACTGCAAAAAGCAATCCCAGGCTATCTTTAGGTTGGCTGGTAACACAAGAGGTTGAAATCATGTCTTTCAGCTACTTTCCTGACACTTTTAGAAGCTTCCACCTGTGAACATCCCTCAGCCACTTAATTCGGGTATTATTGCCTGTTTGCTTCACCAGTGCCTGCCAGCACTTCAACTGCCAGTGAATCATCAATGGCCAACCTGGCATACTAGGTATGGTAGTGGGTTCTCTCTCTCTTGAATTCCTATCTGAGGGCTTCTTCTAGCAGCTCTCAATAGTGGATCTGTGACTGTACCCTGAAAGCACTTCCTCTGCTACACTAGATAAATGCAATAGACATCATTAAAACATGCAGGCATCTCTCTCTCCCTCCCATCCCCACACACTAGAGGAGGCTTTACTGGTCACAGTGCACAAGAGGCAAACTGGACAAGGTGGAAGGAAGGTCACTGGCTAAAAGAGTAACTGGAGTCCAGCATAAGTTGGCAGTCTTGGCTGAGGAAAAGCCAAAGGATGGAGGAGTAGAAATTGTCATTTCTTAGTCATTCATGGGTTCACTATACAAACACTTTTAATTTGTTTTTTGACCAAAGGAAACAATTTTGATCACAAGATTTAACTATTCTTTTCTGTATCATATTATTCATAGGCCTTGAATATGTAGAAATCAGTGAATCTAATAGTGCATTTATACTGTCAGTTGTGTTAGGTTATATGAAAGTGGGCAGCAAAAAGGCTAACATAATTGCACTTAACTCTGCTGCAATAAGAACAAATGGGGCTTTTTAGACATCTGGTGATATACCTAGTTTTGTGTGTTGTTTTTTTTTTCTGTTTGTTTTAACCTAGACAGCCAGGGATACATTCAGATAACCCATTCGCATAGTTTCAACTAATTATTTCAACTTTGTATCAGTACATTTTAATGCTGTACTACTGACAGGTTTCTTCCTTGTGATATTTATCAGCCTTCAAGCACCTATGGAAAACATACCATTTTGCATTCTGATTAAATTACTTTTAGTTTTGAGTATGCCATGTCCGTTAGAATGGAGGAGCTTAGAGGATATATAATACTGCAAGAAGTGTTTAGCTGTCAGCTGATGACAGTGTCTCATTTCCTACAGCTAGAAGGGACCCATTAGTATGACAAAATGCTGCATTTTTCAATAGGTCTTAGTGAATACGTGTTTCAAAGAGAATTTTTGGGATGAGTCACTCCCAGACTGTGCTCTATTTATCCATTATTAACTCATCTGGAATACCACAGTGAGTAGTTGGGATTGCCAGTGGTTTATGATATTGATATTAAGTGCAGTGTGCAAAAGTCTAATTGTTTGTAACCGAGTAATAGAACAACAACCATTTTCGTTCAATTAAGAAGATACTTTTGGGCCAAAGACAATCAGAATTCCAAAATCATTGCTATGATCCATTTTCCACTATTTTAATTTTAATAGTAGGAACCTTTCTCCTTTGGCAGGCTCAGTGACTTGCCAAAACAAATAATTTTGGTTTCTTTTTATTCTTCTCTGAATTACATTTCTGAACTCAGAGAATGCATATGCTTATTTTACTATATCTACGGAACTAAGTAACTGTAGCAGTACCTTTTGATAGATTGTGGTGGTTTTACTCAGGTGGGCAGCCAAGCTCCACCACAACCGCTCTCTCACTCCCCCTCTCCTCAAAGAGGAAGGGGGAGAAAATACAACACAGAGAACTCGAGGTTTGAGATGAGAAAGGTTTAATTAAAGGGAAAGGGAATGGGGAGGAAAAAAAAAAAAAAAAGAAAGAAAGAAACAAAAGAAACAATAAGGCCGCGCGGAAGCACAGAGAGAGGGAAAAAAAAAAATTATTCTCTACTTCCCATCAACGAGCGATATTCGGCCACGTCCTGGGAAGCAGGGCCTCAAAATGTGTCGTGGTTGTTCAGGAGGAACAGCCCCCTCCCCCACAAGAGCCCCCCCTTTTATTGCTGAGTGTGACATCAGGTGTTATGGAATATCCCTTTGGTTGGTTTAGGTCAGCTGCCCTGGCAATGTCCCCTCCTCATCACTTGCCCACCCCCAGCCTGCTGGCTCCTGGGGGCTCAGAAGGAGTCCTGATGCTGTGCCAGCACCAAGCAGCAATAGACACAACACTGGAGTGATATCAGTGCTATTCCAGCTACGAGCGCAGAGCACAGCACTGTGTGGGCTGCTGCAGGGAAAAGGTGACTCTAGCTCAGACAGACCCAACACATACATCTTTTCAAACTTATGTTATTAAGCCTTTACTTAGTATAGTCAAATATGCTAGCAAAAAAATCAATGCAAACAGTGGAAAAACTATTCTGCCTACATAAAACTGTCTGACAACAGCTAAATAGTTCATAGATCTTGTAGGATCACTATCACTAAAATAAAATAAAATAAAATTGGGAGTTTTATTTCTAGCAAGGTAGCTTGTGCATCAAAGGCAAATGCGAATCCTGATGTTTTTGCAAAACACAACTGTGTGTAAGGAAATGAAGCAGAAAGATCATTACACTGAGACTTGCTAAAGGTGGGAGAGAACGTTAGCCTTCAAAGTGAAGTATTTTGCAAGTTAGCCAGCCAACAATAATATTAAATAACTTCACCAGGATTTTATGAAAGCATCCAGATGGCTCATGCACAAAAATGGAGGCAGTGCACAACCAGGCTCCAGCTCTCAGTGGATGCCTAGAGGATGCTTATGATAATATTTGTGTAAGGTGTGCCTGGACAGGCACATATGGTGACTACTTCAAGCTATAACTCTTGGTTCAATTAGCTGCTCAGCTTTACCTTTGTTCTGCTGCTCATTGTTACTGGGGCTGTGCTAAGCTGACAATGTTGAACCTGCATTGGAGATGGGAACCCAGATATTTTCAGGGCACAAAGTATGAGGAAGGGGAAGCTGACCTTCCTGAGGTTTGCCTGGTTATATGACCTCCTTTCCCTGGAAGGTGGCTTCCCAGGCTAGATCTCACTCCATTGCTATGTCTGGTCCTGGACACACAGGCATGCTCAGGTATTGGCCCATGGGACCATTTCAGGATACTGCTACAGCACAAATGAGCAAGGTGCTTATATCTCAACGGGGAGAGAACTTGAATGTGATTTTTTCTATCTTGATTTCTGTTCCTTTAATTTATTCTTCTATCAGCCTTGTAAGAGGTTTACCCTTTATTTTTTGAGAATTATCCATTTAAACACTGTTCTTAGAAACTGAGTTTCTGTTAGAGAAAGAAGTATAACTGCTATCTGGTTTGAATCTAGCCATTGAGATACAAAAATGTGTTACTAAATTATACTGAAAGCAGTTTCAAAAGGGAATACTAAATCAGTCACCCTGTTCACACAACATTCAGGAAAACTTCTTACTCCTTCAGTCATGTCTGACAGTTAACTTATTATTTTAATACGTTCACGCTTTCTTAAAGCTTGCTCAGATAATGTGAGGTGCTTCCGATTTTATTGGGATGTGAATGTTCCAGCACTGATATTTAGACTTTTTGAGTCAGGTCTGTTTTGATGATTGCATTTTGATGCTGTTCAAGAGTTGTGCAGATCTGAACAAAAAATCATTTTTCTTTCAGCACTTGACAGTCATATAAGTTGAGCCCTTTCCCATGAATGAGGAAGGTAAGAAAACTGCTTTATTGTATTTGAAACTCCATTTTTAAGAAAATGTTAATTGGTCTGAGAGCAATGGAATATATTTACTGGAATCAAACCAACTTCATTCCTCCCAGAAAGGCAGAGCAAGGGTTGTTACCATGGGCATGGGCAGTGAACAGGAGACAAGACAGTTGTGTGCAGAACTGCTAGTAAGAGCATTCAGTCTCGGGCTCAGTATCAGGACATTGGGTGACTGAAACAGGAGGAAAACAAGAAAGCAGAAAACAGAACAAGTGCAGAAGAGGTATGAGGCTGCACAGACAAATTGGTTCAGCTAGAGGCTGGCTGGGAGAAGATGTTCATCGATCTGTGACACCCCACTGCTGGAGACACTGGCTCCTGTGGCACAGCACTGTATAGTAATCCATTTTAAACAAAACTGTGTGTGTGTGTTAACTCAAGTGGGCTGATTACATTGTTTGTATTGTTTGCAAATTATAGTAATTTATACTGTTATACTAATTGCTGCTGGCCACTTCCGTGAGAGTGCACAGCTGCTCATCTCACGGAACCTGGTGGCCTCTCGCTGGTGATCAGGACAGAGCAGTGGGGGCAGCAGTGTCAGCATCTTATGCCACACTACTGCTTTAGACAACAGGGAGAAGGATGAATCACTGATTAGAAAATTATTAATCACAGTTGTTATTGTAATGTCTGAGGGCCAGTCAGAAGGAGCTCCCTGTTACCCCAGCCTCTGAGCACACCAGAGAAATAGCCGATGCCTGCCCTAGTCTGGAAGTTGCTCGGAGAGCAGCCATGGAGGGATGGGCTCAACTTGAGTGGGAGGAACAGCAAATAGAATATTTATCTCTGATCTTTTTTCAGAGAGGTGTAGGTGTCTGCAAAGAGCAATCTGAGTAATACGCTTGGATAAGTGAGATAATGGACTAGTCTATTTTAAGAGGTTAGTTTTCCTTGTTATTGTTGCACCTACACCTACTTGCATAAGGAGAATCGTGGCTTTATGGGAGGCCTAGAAGAGTTTATTTTAAGAAGAAAGCTACCATTTAGGGTGAAATGTTTGTAGTAGGGGCAGAGCGGAGATTTTACACTCCAGGTGTCTTCCTTGGTATAGGCTTTTTGTTCCAGGATATCCAACGTATCCAGCAAATCCATGTTTCAAAATGTCCATAACATTTTGAACATATGAACAGAAGGAAGAGCTCTGTGATAGATTGGCATGGACAGTTCTGTGGTAGTTCCTTTTTCAGAGACCAGGGCAAGTGTCTACAATATTGCAGCCTTTACTTGTGTTACTATTTTGTGTTATTTCTAAGTATTTAGACAAAAGAAAGATCCTACAAAGAAAACAGTATAAATACAGTTTATTGTATTTGCAAAACAAGAAAACTAATTATCATTTTAGATGAAGAGCATACCCTTTGAAAATAAAATTAATTGATAACAGAGAAGCAGAGAAGTGATAAAAGGACACTATTTGGTGTGATCCTGTCATGGGCAGTGCTCAGTGGTTAGCTCAATGGGCAGGAGTTGCTAGAGCATGAGATGTTGCTGAGCACTTTGCCAGCTGGGATGTTCTTTCACAGCTTTGAATCACTTTACTTTCTCAACTTAAGAAGAGTTGTGAGAGACGAGGCTTCAGCAATGGCTTCATCAGGCATTTCTGTAGCTTTGAGAGATGGTGTCAGAAGATCTGTATTTTTCAGATGTCTTCATACAGTGTTGTTGTAATTACCCCAGAGAAGTGGCTTCTATTGTAAATTCTACCAGGCTAGACAAAATAGCCTAAATTAATTTCTCTTATTCAAATAATCAAGCAAGAAAATTTCAGTTCCAGAGTTTATTGCTGCATTTGAATGCTAAACAGCATGGTGACTTTGGGAAACCCTGTTGATGCAGGCTGTTGAGACAAATTTCAGAAGAATAGTTGCAGCTATCTTAGACTTTTATCAGTGTCTGTGCAAAGGACTGTGAGGAAGATGGAATAAGTCATTAAAATATGATCTAATGATCTCTGCAGGACAAAATCTCAGCCCATCCCCATAGCCTTGAAGGGCACAAAGCTGGACAGGAAATTTGGGATTTCAGGTGAGGAACTCAAGCTTCCAAGTGTCTCACAAAATCCCTGGTGCTGCAGACTCCCAATGAGCCTCACCCCAGAGCCAAGGGGACCTGCTGAGTCCTTCGTCCGTCCGCATGGAGAACAGAACAGTGTTTCTCTCCCAGGCTTCTTTGGGTGTGTTTGTGTGTGCTGGGGGGAGGACTTCACTTCATCCATCTTATTTCTATCTCTAAAAACTACATTGCAGCCAGGAAGTGGAAATGATATCTGACATTCTAAGAATCATCAGGAGAAAAACAGAAAGGAGAGAACAGTTTGTTTTGTAAGAAAATGAACAGAAACTATTCTGAGCTCCATTTGTTATGGATCGAAGTTGATGTAATATCAAATATCATCAACAGCAGTGCTGTGCATGCTCATAGACTTCTGCTGATGATCAGTACCAAGAAAAGAGAAATAAAATTTGGCAAGGAAAGTAGCACAAGGAAAATAACTTCTATTTTAATGATAGAAAAATGGTTTTGAAATTACATACATTTTGTGGGAGAAGCTAAATCATTTCCAAAACAGATAGTAGACTTTTCTTCGAAAAAATGAGGATATAGAGCTTTTTTTATTATTATTATTTTTTGAAATGATTAGCTTACACAAGTTTCTGCATGTTTTTTTCCAAATACCTTAGAACAGGCTCTATATTTTATCACAGGATAGGATCAGAAAAAGATCTCAGTTCATTTAGGTCACTAAATCCTGGCTGATTGAGTCAAAAGAAGCTTCAAAGCTCTAACAAGCATACCAAGGACAGAAATCCTCAGAAGGTGAGGGGAGTCTTATATCAGCTAGGATGAAAGATTTTTGAAAGCTCAGATGCTGTATTTATTCTTTATTCCTTTTGCTGTAAGCACCCAAACAACTGTGTCAGTATCCGTGCACTATGGGCTTTCTGTCAATGTATGGAAAAGCAGTGCAGGCCCATGTGGGTTGACATCTGTATTGGAAAATGGTATAGATGGCTTTGCAAAGTACTGCCTTGGCCACTTTGTATGCTTCTGTAGAAATCTACACAGGAGAAAGTCTTTAGGGGAAAAAACAAACAAACAAACAAAAAAAAAAAAAAACTACATCAAACAAACAAAAAAGGCCAAACACAATTCATTTTCTAGAGTTTCTCTTCATCTGTAGGAAAGAGAGTTATGGGGTTGCAGAAAAGCTGTGGGACGTTTTTTCTGCCCAGAGATGTCCAGGATTTCCAGAAATGATCAGATTCACTCTCCACTGTTGCTGTTCCCCCAGAAGGTCCCATGTTCACCGCAACATGGTTCATATCATGTTGGCATGGCTGTAAGCTTCCTCAAGTTCTCCAAGGTCAGGCTGTGTGAAACTGAACTGGTGCTCCTGTGTGTGTAACATATGATATTGTTCATTATTATAACCAAGCATGATTGTACAATGCTTTCATAGGCCTCCTGCTTCACTGAGTTGCAAAATCAGCAAAGCTATTAGTACTTATCCACTCATAGTTCAATTTGTGGCCCATTTACTAGTCATGACTCCAACCCTACTGGGAAGGAAAAATTGCCAGTAATTAATGGCCTTTCTGCAGTGCTGCTCCCTTCCAGGTAGATTGCTTTCCTGAACATGCTGTATCAAGGACTGGATGAAGAAGTGTGTCATAATCTGCCTTTTACAAAGGCACAATTCACAAAGAGTGAGTTAAGACACTGTGTGCCCACAGCCAAACGGTCATTTCTAGGGCCTAATTGTTCCTTGTGCTTGTAAACATAAGCATCTGTAGGTACAAGCTGAAGGTCCCAGTGATACCACTCTCAGAAAAGAGTATTCAGGCTTCTGTAATCAGAAAATAATAAATAATAATAATAATAATAAAAGTATTTCAAGTCAAGGCTCTCTGTCCCATAATGAGAAACACACAACTAATGACTAACTGGGATAAAGTACGTGTTTGAAATGGCTTGCCAGGTGGAATTAATCCTGTGAGGAGAAATAGCAACAGCAGGACACCTTGGGAAAGAGGGCACAGGGAATCCTTAGTGGCTGTCATTTTCAGCAATGAACATTACAAACAGGGTGTAGAAGGCTGGGAGCTGCAGAGGAGGAGCAGGGGTTTTGCGATTTGGGGGTGTCTGTGGACTGCTGCATGCCGTGGGACTGTCGGAGAGCAGGGAGGACAAGCAAGGGGACACGCGTCGTGGTACAAGGCTCTCTGGCACAAAGCATGCAGAAAGTCTTGGAAAGAAAGTCAGTGCATCTTTTTTAGGGCTTGATATCTGGAGATCCTCAGAATCCTTTAATTATTAAAAGCAAGGATCAATCAGTAGATCTTGTCACAGGCTGTGACAGGAACAGTTCAGGGTGAGGGTAGAGGCTACGGCTGCAGTTCCACAGAAGGCAAGCAAGGCATTGGCAGAGCAATACCCACACAAGGGCTGCAGCACACACAACAAAACGTTTGTAGTTACACAGCAGCTGGAATTTCAGGCAGTTCTATGGCCAGATTGAAAGCAACAACTCAGGGCTAACTGTTGTGGACACAATATTTATAACCTAGCACTTTGGGGGTTATCCCTTAACTCTGTGTCTGAGCTGTAACTGCTTGACACAAGATCAGCCCATCGAACACAGAAATTTGAAGTAGCTCTTGTCTGAAAGGGGCAGTTCTCTCGTCAAAGGTCTTCTAGTGACGGAGTGTCATTGACTATTCTCCTTCGTGTGAATTCAGCTAGAAGATATTTTTTTATGGCTCCAAATATATTTTCCTTTTATTTGTAGTTGGGAGATGGGAGAGATGACCATCTGAAGTCATAGCGTGTGAAAAGGCAGTGTAAAGGGAATTATAAAATCTGAAATTTATGCTGTGCCATGAATTTAAGGGAATAAAATATGAGAAACAAATTGTGGATTTTTGCCAAAAGAAATGATA